CTATTGTTCAAATTGCATAACACTGGCACAAACGGTTTTGACTTATAAAGAGACGCACACACGCACACATAACCACTTTTCCTTTTATTACGACAGGATATTTGTTACTTTTGACAATTTTAGTGAGTGATACGGACGTAACATAAAAACATTCTCTTTGTTATTTTTCTGTTTGACATTAACGTCTTCATAGTCTTGAACTTAGGAAATTTTATTGTGATATCAGGATAAAACGTGAGTCCTTTTGGAGATTTAATTTCCTTTTTACTTTCTACTTACAAACATAAGACGACAAATGACGTAACAATGATGCTGCATCGTCCTTCAAAACAGTAGACAACCTTGGCCCATCCCTTTCCCTCGTGCGGCCTCAAGTTCACTACTCGAGTAACATACTACTCGAGGATATCAACCTCTAATTAAATCCCGCTTTAAGGAACATTATGATTCACAAATCGTCCACTTCTCATTAATGTGTATTGTTCCAACTAAGCCCGAGCTTTCGAATTCATTCTCTGATTAGTAGATGTGATTTAATTGATATTGTACTCACAACATAAAGAGAGATCCGTAATCTTTCAATTCTGAAATTTGCTAGTCGAACATGTGTATAGAGTTTTCACAGTACTAAATAATGTAGAAAAATAATATTTATATTATTATTTTGTACCAGTTTGAACAATAACCAGTTTGAACAACAACTTTCATTTCAAGTATGAAGCCAATTTCTATTAGTTAACTAAAAAAATGCGCTAATGTCTGTAAAGTGTTATTTCAAATATACATTTTATTCGGGTAATTTCTGTTAACACTAGGTTTATGGAACGCGTCATTTTGACGCATTTCGAATTTTATAAGGAAAATTACAAAACTCGTTTGCGTTTTTATTTTATCGTTTGTAATGACTTTTATCCATTGATGGGGGTGAATATACATATTGAAGTCTATTTTCTTCAGAAGCGTTGAAATATTGAAATTCTCTTTATGGTATACCTATCTCTACGGATATGCATCAATTTGACGCGATTGTAATTTAGACAAAATTTTGAGAAAACGTGCAAACATCACATCAATAATAAATAGGAATGTACCGACAGTATATCGATCCGTTATCTTAAATGAAACAAGCGATAAACAACTGTTGCCTATAAGCAATAATAGAAAGAACATACACAAAATGTCAATTGATGTCAGAGTGTCAGATTTTGAAGGTTTCAGTTGCTTAGTTCGAGTATTGAAAAATAAAATACTAGAATAAATCATAAATATGTACCTCATATTTTCATTTTTTTTCTTATAGTATATAATTACATTGCTTTCCTAAGTGCAGAGATGCCAACTGCTCCGGACACACCGACATAATTAAAAAAGCTGTAAATAACTACTAAGTAAATTTTACAAGTATAAAGTAGTGAATAATATAAGCCTGCGAATTACTTAGAAATAGTGGTGGATAAAAATCTACTATTAAATTGAATTTATTAAACCAAGAATCACAATTGATAAACTAACACTTTAAAATATGTATTTGCTGTCCGGAGCAAGTAGGCATCTCTCTAAGTGCTGTTATATGTATTTGTTCATGCTTCAAATTGATGAGTGTTTGTAGAGATAGGTATATAAGAAACATCCGTAAACCTAATGTTAAAGATATGCTAAAACTAGCTTCGAAATATTTCAAATATAACTAAATATTATTTTAAGAGAATGTATCGTTAGGTATCACATAAAAACACCATTTCAAATTACAGGAACAAAAAATTCTGGTAAAATTACCATACTTGTATGGTAATGACATTTCTGGTAAAAAAAAGGTAAACATATTTCGGAAATAAAACCAAAAATATAATAAAATCAAAATATAAGGCATTTAAACCATTCATTTGCTAATTTTTCTGTTTGTATGGTAACGTTTTTTCGGAAATTTTGGTTTTTAAAATTATAGTCTTTATTGCGACAGGTTTAATAAAAATACGAAACTAAAAAGCAAATTATACCGAAAAAAAGGTTTTTACACTACGGTTTTATGGTAACTATAGCATGGCAATAAAACCATATTTTATTTTTAATTATACCAAAAGTCATTAGTCGAGAGCTTCAGTTAAAAATTAGCGTGATTTTTGGTGTTCTCATAGAGCCAGAAACACGGTAAATTTTACGTTATTCTGGTAGTTTTATCCACTCTTTTTTCCTCGGTGTAGAAAATACGTATAAAATTTTTCAGAAAACGATTACAGTCTCATTTTGGCAGCATTATTCATCGTTCTTTTTCCTTTTTTCGTAAACCAAAAAATTTTGGAAATGGGCCGAATAAAGTTATGTAAACTTGTAAATTATTAAATTATTAACAAAAGAAATATGGTCCAATTACGAATTGAACTCGATTCAATTATTCGTTTCAACCGTGCTATTGACTCAAAACCTACTGTTAAAAAATGAATACCATTATTAATTACAAACAAAATAATGTAACCAATCGAATATTTTATCCATTTTTTATAAAAATCAACATTGAAAGTGGCTCAAGAAGTTTATAAAATTTCTCTGAATCATACTGACCCTGTATAACGCAAACGTAAGTCAATGAAAAATATTTTAAGTCATAAAAAATATTTTAATCAAGTTGTAGTCATTCACGAAAAAAAAAATTCCGATTGAATTTTAAGCCTAAAATTTTTTTATAGACTTATTCATTGTTACAAAGCGTATTATGGCTACAAACAATAATTATCAATGAATGACAATGATCAGGCGTTTCTATTTCCGCAATATACTATAACCTTGACTGTAACTTCGAATTACTAAAGAGAAAGATAGAGGGATACTGAGGTCAATTTTTATGAATTTGCAAAAAAAAAAAAAGAAAAATCTAACTAATTATTATTTTCAACATATTTAAGTTTTTTTTTTATTATAATTTGACCATTTCTTTTCTATTTGACTCATAAATAAGGTAATTTGCATGTATATTTTTTTTAATAATCCTTTTTTAAAAATAGTTGTTTTGGTTATTGTGAGGGCACTAAAAATACTGTTTTGAGTTAGTTATCTTTGCAACACGAGGTTTAACGAGGGATTTTAATATATGGGGTGATAGCAAAGATTATGCCTTATCATTTCATTTTTAATTAAATAAAATTGATTTAAAATGATTTTAACCCCCACGAATTGTAAACAATTTAAACAATTATATAAGAGTTGATAATATTTCGGTGAAGATATTAAGTTATAAGTTAAGTTCAACAAACTTAGCTTACCTCAATTTTTATTACACGACCACTTGAAATATTATAGGAATCTACATCTCTTCGGGTTTGTCAATATTAATTTATATTTAATAGTTAAACTGTATTCTAATTTTTGACTAAAATTTTTGACTTGTAACTGCATAAGAAGTGTACATTTTTTATTCTTTACCAGAAAAATTATATTTTCTCATTAAATTGAATTTGGTTTTTATTTTACAGAATTAGACAAATCATTATTAAATATCAACTGAGAAACATTAAAAGAATCTAGAAGTTTCCACTTTACAACTGCTTTAAAAAATAGAAAAACTTTAAAAATTTCCAATATTTTGAATTTAAAAAATGCAATAAAGCATTTGTTTCATTTAAATTTTCAATTTCGTAAGAAATTATTGCAATTGATGAACACACAGTAGAATTTTTTTTTAAAATAAATTAAATGTTTTACAAAAAATAATCTAATTTAGCAAATAAATACCTTATTGAGTAATGCTCTAGTTATTAACCCACATCTTTATCACAAAAAGCTTAAACTGGTACTTGTATTAGAAAAATCTAGTTATGGTAACCAATGTGAAATAAACCTCTATCATTAATATATTTGCGCCAAACACTATGTATTATCTTGTTAAATAAATGTACCTGTATGTAAACTTTGCCTTACAAAATCTCTAAATATTGAAATGGCATTTAAAAGGAAAAAAATTCTGCTAACATTAAAGTAAATTTATTCCACTATTGAATTTTTGCACGAACCGTACAAACCTTAATAATATTGACATAGCCACTGTATGTCTCCCTCCACTAGCCGTGTAGTCGTACGCTCTTTTAATCTCATTATCGTCAATTAAAGAAAAATACACTAAAAGTGACTATTGAAATAGGCGATAGGCATTTCATTCATAATCTATTATCTCCGATAGTTAACAACGATGATTAAGAATTGTCTATTAAAGCAAAAATTAAGAAATTATTTTTTCACCATTAAAACCTTGTTTTTAGTTTGCTACTTAACAATATAGACCCTTATCTTGCAATGTATATGAAAGTGTAACACAGAATTTGCTAAACTGCAAAACTTTATAAGTAGCATAAAAATTCTATTTGTCTAGTCCAGCTTCATGTCCACACTATCCCCCTCTCCTCTACAGGATAATGATTTTTATATTATAATTCATTTTTGAACATTTGAATAAAATAAAATTAAAAATTTCTTTTTTTTCATTACGGCAGGAAAGCCTAGTTTGTTAATTCAGTTAGATATCTCCATACTTTCTCCAATTTTCCGCTTTGTAGTAAAAGACAGTAGGCATATTTAATACATGTTGTCATTTTTATAAGTAGTAACAATGTAAATATATATCCTTCAAATTGTTATACAATATGAAAACCATTAAAAGAAATTTCGAACTAAAAATAATGTAATACGTTCATTTAAACCTGAAAACTATAAGTGCATAATTATAAATTCTCGCAGAAAAAACAATTTAAAACTTGTACCAGAAATTGGAAGAAAAAAAGAGGGGAAAAAAAGGGCTTGGTCCGCCGATCGTGACATCAGCCTTTTTTTTCAGTATTTGATAATGAACTAACACCAATTTTTGCTCAAAAACAATTTTTGAAAAAAAGGCACTTACAGCCTTTGTTTTAGCTTCAGTCTTCAAAAAATAAATTAGTAACAGAAACATTAGAATAATAAATCCAACAAAGCTAGAGAAAAAAAAAACAAATAGTGAAACAAAGAGAACTTACCAGTCCATCGCAGGCAGAAAGAGCGACATGGGAACTAGAAATGTTTCCAACAACATAACCATGGAAGAAACAATGTTCTTTCCTATGTTTTGATAATTTGATGTGGTTTTGACTTCTTTTTCTTTCCACAATAAATCCTGGTCCTAATAAATTATGATTAGGTTTTAGTTTCAAAAATGTTTGTGCACCATCTAACTGCACCACGTAATGAACGTGATCGTCTTCCAAAGATCTACGTGCACGATTGTTCAATTTGTGTTTCACATAATGTCTGACATCATATGATAAATGGAGTCCGCTAGCTGTGATTTTAACGGGGCTCACAATTTCATAATCTAAAAGTTTATTCGAAAATAATTCACCTAGAAAACAATAACAAAATGTTAGTTTCATATAATATTCGTCACATTTGAGTACAATTTATAAGAGTTCATGTATAGTATATTATTAATACACCTATTTATTACCGAAATATTATTAATACACCTATTTATACATAAAAAATATCCATTGCTTTTTTGTTTTTTTTTTGTTTTTCTAATCACGAACGGATTAAAACCGCCAGTTAAAATTCTAGTTTTTGCCATACAGTTTTGCATACCATAATATAACGTAACCATTTCCGTAATTTTTTTTCAATTATTTTCTATATTTGCTCTTACTTTTACACAATTACTTTATGTTTTTAACATCGTATGAATAAAACTGCTATTCGACTTTATTGTCAAATTAATACAATATTGAAGTGAAATTCTGACTACCACTTCTTCATTAGAAAGCACTTGAGCCGCAATGGCTCAGGGGACAGACCACTTGTTTCCCAACGAATTGATTGTTGCCGCAATGAAATATTTCCTTCTGGTGCGAGAACAGAATTACTTCGTAACTTTCACAGTGAAAACTTGTTCCCATATGGTAAAAGTCTGTTGACAAAACATATTGTAAGAAATTGTTTAATTTTTTTCAAACTGCGTTTTATTTTTATAGTTTAGTTATTTTCCAGGTCATCCGCACCCTGTCCGCTTAATTATAGAGAATTTTCACGTTTATGTCACATAAAGTTAAAAATATTTCCGCATAATTTATAGAGACCAAATTATAATTTAAGCAAAACACACTCCAAAGTATGATGTGCAATTGATAACATTTTGTAGTAATTTAAAATACGACGGGGGTGCAGCACCTCTTAAGAATTTTTTTTTAAATCTCTTATAGAAGATACGAATGCCAAGTTTATATTTACTACAATACATGGAAATTTTCATTCTGTTTCAGCTATAAACATGTGTACTTGAGTTAAGATAGCCTAAAATAATAACAATTGTCAGCTACGTAACTAAATCTGAATTTAAGTATATAGGTCATTTCCGAAAATCCGCTCGAAAAGTTTATCAAATTCTGCAATCCAGATTTCTAATGCGAAAAACCGATTGTTCTAATTACGAAACTTCAAGTCAACATCTGTGTACTTTTATCATTAGACGTTAAATCACGTTTAATGATAAAAAGATAACATGAAACAGTAAATCAATGTTAAGTAGATTAAGAAAGTACAATTCTGTTAATATTATACATTTTTATACATAATTTTTACTAATTTAAACAAAGAGGGAAAAAATATTTTCCATTTATTCACAAAAGGCTTTCTAAGATATTTCTTCGCTAAATGTATCATTAATATCTTAATTATTTATTATAATCTTGAGCAAAAAATTTCTTGTTTTATTTGAAGGAATCGAAAAATTTGAAACATTAGAAAGTGTTGCACAGATGATCAAAAACATATTAACAAAATCTTAGACTATGTCAGATATAACACAAAAAACAAATCATCCGATTGTATTTACTAAAATATTTGAAAAAACAAATTAGTTTATTAATAAACAATTGAATTAAAAAAATCTTTTCAATGATGATTATTGCAAAAAATTATTCTCTAGTTCTAGTAAAAAAGAATTTCTAAAAAATCATTTAAGAAAACTTTATACCGATAAAAAAGCTTATGTGAACACATGATGCATTTTAAAAGCCATCTCTAAAAAAAGACGTGCAGAAATGGGTACAATATAAATTATTTAAAAAAAATCACTAAAAATATTTTTAATATTTTGCCAGATTAATTATTAAAAAAGACCAATAAAATTCTTTTTAAACATTCTGCGATATAAGTATTTTGATCTTGACATATATGTCGCTTAAGTTAATGTCTCGTAAGTCAATTTTGTCTCTTAATTTTGATGTCTAACCAATCTCACAAAATCCGTATTTTAGACCAGTGGCTTCCAACTGGCGGCCTGCGGGCCACGTCCGGCCCGCAAAGCCTTTTTTTGTGGCCCGCGAACTAAAATACTATATTAGTTATTTTTTTGCGGACAATTTTCGTAAGAAATCTTTATGGGTTTAAAATACTTTTCTTTCGTTAAAAAAAGCCTAATTTCTTCGTTTCTGTGAAATTTAGCATACCAACGGTGCAAAAAAATTTCTTTCTCAGGTAAAATTCTACTTCGTATTTTTATTAGTAATTCAATACTTTTGTTTTGTACAACTTGATAAAAATCTGACAGNCATTAACAAAATGCAAATTAATTTTCAAAGACTTTAGATGATCATGAGAAAATAATTAGTTTCTGACAAAGAACTCTTTTCTTGATTATATTAGCCGTTATAAAATGATCGAGAGATTTTTTCTTTTCCATAGCAGAGGGTGGAAAATGAAGTCTGAAATTGATAATATCTTGCAAAATGCAGCAGAGTTGCACATGAGAAAGCAATAATCTCACCGAACCCAGATCAGTATACGCACATACCGACTCGCAAGTATTTCGTCAAACATCTTAAATGATTGCCGCTTTCATAGGGTAAGCCGAAATGAATTGTGAAAACGCTGAATAGAACAATGTGAAAAGCACGCTTTTGCATAATACGTGGCGAAAATCGACATAATAACGAGAAAAAAATCTCATTTTTGAAAATGGGAAATTAAGCACTTTTTAAAAACACCCAATAAATAAAGCACCTTTAAGGGCTTTTAGATAACGAAAATCGAAAATAAGCACCTTTGGGCACTTTTTTAAAAACGCTACGCACCATGTGTGCAATTGATAACATTTTGTAGCAATTTAAAACATGACGGGGGTGCAGCCCCTCTTAAGATTTTTTTTAATTTCTTCTAGAGAATGCGAATGCCAATTTCATATATACTACAATATATGGAAATTTTCATTCTGTTTCAGCTATGAACACGTGTACTTGAGTTAAGATCTCTAAAATAATAACAATTGTCAACTACGTAACTTAATCCGAATTTGAGTATTTAGGTCATTTCAGAAAATCCGCTGGAAAAGTTTATCAAATTCTGCAATCCAGATTTCTAATGCGAAAAACCGATTGTTCTAATTACGAAACTTCAAATCAACATATGAGTAAACGTTAAATCACGTTTAATGATAAAAAGATAACATAAAACTGAAAATCAATGTTAAGTAGATTAAGAAAGTACAATTCCGATAATATTATACATTTTTATGTATAATTTTTACAAGTTTAAACCAAAGAGGAAAAAAATATATTTTATTTATTCACAAAAAGCTTTCTAAGATATATTTCTTTGCTTAAATTATTTATTATTATCCTGAGGGAAAACTTTTTGCTTTAGTTGAAAGAATCGAAAAATTTGAAATATTTGAAAATGTTACATAGATGATCAAAAACAAACTAACAAAATCTTAGACTATGTCAGATATAACACAAAAAACAAACCACCTGCTTGTATTTACTAAAATATTTGAGAAAACAAATTAGTTTATTAATAAACAATTGAATTAAAAAATCTTTTCGATGATGATTATTGCAAAAAGTTATTTTCTCGTTGGACTTAAAAAAAGTTACATTATCAATATCACGTTTTAAACTTGCTGCTGTTGATAAAATATAATCAAAAAAAAAATTCTAAAAAATCATTTATGAAAAATTTGTATCGATAAAATAACTCATGTGAACATATGATGCATTTTTAAAGCCATCTCTAAAAAAAGACGTGCAGAAATGGGTACAATATAATTTTTTTTAAAAAATCACTAAAAATATTTTTAATTTTTTTCCGAGATTAATTATTAAAAAAGACCAATAAATATTTTTTAAATATTTTGAGAGATAATTCTTTAGATCTTGACATATTGCCTCTTAAGTTACATGCTCCTCAGTTCTGTCTCTTAATTTTGATGTCCATGCAATCTCACAAAATATATTTTTTAGACGATATGAGCTAAAATTATAGTTGTTAAATTTTGCACGACTAACAAAGAATTTCTTTCAAGAATTTAGAGCATTTTTTCGTCTTAAAAACCCATGATATGTTTGTATATTTTTTTAAAACTATATTCTAAAATTAAACATTACAAAATGCCTATAGGTGAACGTTATGACGGCTACTTTGTTTTTGTTTTTGGCGGTGTTAATGTATGTGGGGATACAAACTAATTTGGCTTCAAAGTAAAATTAGTGGACTCTGGGCTACGTTTCCTGGTAATGCCTCGAGAAATGTTTTTTTTTTCTTCTTTACGATAGATTTAGGATTGATTAAGACCATTTATTATTAATAATAATCTCGTTAAGCGAGATATAATCCAGCAGTGATGTGTGTGCGTCTGTACCCTGGCACTCACTGCACCGATATTTTTTAAGGTAGAAGTCCATTGTTCGGAATTTTTTCAGGGTCAGTATCACTGCCAAGTATTCCCCACACCAGTGAAGGCTAAATGCCTTTACATTATATACATTTGCTGATATCTGACGTTTTACCTAATATACCCTAATCGTTGTTATAACAATATTCATCGATTGTTAGTAGTAACCAAATAAACTGGTTAAAGAGAAATTTGAATTCATAAGAAAAATTATTTGTCAACTGAAGAAAATGTTTTTGACAAAATTTCAAATGTAAAGACAAAAACGCAAGCATATAAGTCAATTATGGTAATCACAAGAGCCATCAATCAAAAAGGACAAACCAACAATCCTTTTCTCCCTTGACGAAAAACATTTCGATTACCACCTCATAAGGAGAACGCCTTAAACAGTAATAAACCGTTTATTTAGTTTGGTTTTTTCGGTATGTAAAAAACGTCCATAAAAATGTGATTAAGTTGTACTAAGCAAAATGGATTTCCTAATTTTAAATATTATTTCATAACCACAGTTGCTAAAGCCGCAAATTTTCGAAATCGGACGCAGCTTTTCGCGCAAAAAATTTTGCAAATTTTGAGAATTATGCCATACTTTGAACAGCTTTCTCTTTTTCTACAACACGCAGCACGCGAGGCCCTATATCCCCATCACTGTTTCATAAGTTTTCTAGTGGTACTTATATTTATATCAAGATCTCAAAAAAACAAAAAATCTCAGGCGATATTAAAAAAGAAAGCTACTTGAACTTCCCTCTTAAGCTTTCGCCGATATTTTCAACCGCCTCTTTCCTGCCTGTATCATTTTCCCAACGAAGTTTAGTGAAGAAATTTAGTGACAGATCATTTCATATACAGGAACCGTGAGAGACGTTTCCTGGTCTACGACAAAGTGATGGATTTATTTCGTGTAAATACGTTGTAAAAAGTTTTTGCTTCTTACTTATTTTCGTATACTGATGATAAAGGTTTCACTGACTTTTTTTGAAAACATTACTGGTTGAGGTATCTTTTTTTTTCACATGGAATCGGATAAAGTTTAAATATGTTAAGATAAAACAAATATTATTATTTTAAGGAATTATATCTGCTTTTTGTATTCATTCTTGTTAGTAAACGCATTTAGTTTTTACTTTGAATTACTAAAAATTAAATAAAGATTTTCTTCATAACTTTCATGTATGATTCTAAAGTATTAAAATAAGCCCTTAAACTAAGACATAAAATATATATTTTCCTGAAAAGTATATGATTTTAAATTTATTCGTTGTGCTTATATCGATAAAAAATAAAAGTAAAAGAATGAAGTATGTTAATGATGCATGTTTCTAAAATAAATAAAAATATATTATTTAAATTAAATAAATATATGCTTCATACAAAACATGGCTTAAATTTGAAATACTGAAGTCGACAAAAATAAATATGCATGCACATTAAAGCACCCATCACAGATAAAATATATATCCATAAAATATTCTAGAACATAGCTGAGTACAAATTATTATTAATAAATTAGTTGAGTCAAATAACTATTGAAACAATTTTAATTCTAAAATAAAGCTGTTAAATTCCAGATTTAAGAAACTTATATTCAAAATTATATTTGACGTGAAAAAAAAATCTAGAAAACATTTCGATGAAAAAAAGACAACTAAAAAACTGTTATGACGAAAAAAAGGAAAAACAGATATCATATAGAATTGTAAAAAATACCCATAAATTAAATAATGAGACAAATAATTGATTTACAAACTGTATATATTAATGTACAAAATCAGTAAATCTCAACAGCTTTTCTTTATATGAGCAAAAGGAAATTCTTATGTTTTAAGGATACATCCTACTAAACTAAATGATGTAACTCATTTAAATAGTTCCGGATTTATCAACTTTCCCCATCATTTTTCGTAACATTGATTTCGTTTAAATGATGAAAAATATGAGAACAATAAGGTCCAGCAATATTAATAAAGAAAACAAATTTTATATTAAAATAAGCACTTTTAAATATAATAAAAGTCAATATAAACAAAGATAATCGGTTAATGAATTCGTGCTTAACTCTTTATTGCGTGCTTTTCCTGTCTGCACGATTTTTCTTAATCATTTCATTTTTTTCTTAAACTTTCGCTAAAAATATTTTCTTTTTTCTTAGAAAACACTTAAAAGCTTAAATCTTCGTCTGTAAATAATTTTTATGCAGACATTCTACATAAAACTGAATCATTTCTGAGTTTTAAACGAAGTTTAAGAAGCCAATTTTCTTTAAGATAAATTATTCAAAAGACAACATATTTTCATGCCACACCTTGAATAATTTTAAAACATATGTTTTGACCTAAACAGCAGTTGTGAAATCTAAAATAATATTTAGAAAAATAAAATTCATTTGAAGTAAACATGACGATCGCGACCGCTTTTTACCATTTGAATTTCGATATTATAATTCTGATCTGCAAATAAAAACATCTCCTCACTAAAGAATAATGAGATTTCCTAGCAGTACAACCATGTACGTTTAGTGTGGTACACGTTCTGTAATAAAATTGATAGTTTACTCTTTGGCAATTAAATAAATAAAACTAAATGAATTAAAACTTCTTAGAGAAAAAAAATGCTAAATTTTATGAGGCAACTAATAAAAAGACGTTGAACTTAAAAAATTTGTGATTCACAGAAAATTGACAATTTTTAATATTTTAAACAAAGTATAATAAGCTAATTTTCTCTAGGATGAATCGGCGACTAACAGTTGATTACGAGACAGTAGAAAAAATGTATATAATTAGTTCATGCCAAAAATTAATTTTCTAGTGATTGTTACTAGAAGTTCGCATTTCAGCCTGTTATATTTATAACGAAGTAAAAGTATCACTTTATTAACTATAAATTTTTATTGAAAAAATAGTAAAATATTTTATTTTGTTCCATGCAAATTTTAAAGAATGTTAATTTTAGAAATGAAAACTTTTGATAAAATATTCAGCAAAATAATTTCAAAAGGAAATTACTTACAATATAGTTAAAAGAAATTAATCCAAATGAGTAATAAATCGTAAAAGTTTTTATTAAGTGGAAATTCTTTAATTTATAAATATTTCAATAATTTCTGCTTGTTCCTTATGCTATTGTTATATTAGGAAAAAATTCACTCACCACAAATCGACTAGAACACGAAATCAGCCATAAATATGTTGTTTATAACTGCATATATCTTTTGATTTTAATAATCCGTTAAATTTAAAATGAAATGTAAACCACTTATTTTATCCTCCATATCTATTTTTGGAAATTCAATTTTTAATAAGATATTCAGTAGGATTAATTATTATTTTAACAGAAAATTATATTCCATTAGAATAAATAAAGCAGTCCAAATATTCAATCCACGTTGCAATTAATCGTCAAAATTTCTCTTAAGTTCTAAATTTTTCTAAATCAATATGCATTTGTTGAATTACACAATAAAATTCGCTAACTACGGCTTCTATAAAGTAAATAAATATTTTAATATTGTCTATTTTCTTAATTTTAACTTTTTTAGTAATTTAAAACGAAATTTACTTACTTTGTCTTCTATATCTAAACGCATTTCCATGTACAATAATGCAGACGATAAAAATCGTTGTTAAAGAGAGTGCAGGTAGTTCCATCTTTCTTTCTGCCGGCAAAAAAAAATCGCCTGCTGTTGAAGATGACTCAGCCCTCCATGGAGGAAAAAAATGCAGAACAAAAAAAAAATATCACATGAAATCACTAGGATGGCTAGACTAGCGCACAAAAATTCTCTAACACGTTCAAAACAAAACTAAAAACGATTCTTTTCACGAAGCCGGTAAACCAGTAAAAGCCACAAAATACAAATTGAAAAAATAATTAATAAAATAAAATTCTAATAAAGACAAAAAAATGTACGGAGGAAAAATCGAATCGTTTGAAATAAATGATCAGTTGTAGAAAATATTAGGAAAAATTTTTGTTTCACGAAGTGGTCAAGCGAGATGAAAGCGTGAAAAAAGGAGAACTCGCTCTGTAAAGATGCATCGTCTGCTCTTCTTGAGAGAAAAGATCTGTATTCATTGGTAGCAGCATATTTTCTGTCAGAAGAGCAGCGCCAGTAGCGGCATTTATAAGTCTTTAGCATCGGATGATTTTTGTTTTCTTTTCTTTTTCTCCATTCATAAAGATCTTAAGTTTTCGTTTGTTTTAAGTAACCTTGCTAACTGATTTTTTCATAATATTTAAAATATTATGGAATGAGTAATTTTTATTATTTTTTTAATAATAGCAGCCGTTCAATTCTAGTAATTAAAATCCAATCTATTGACGAGTAAATTATTCTGTTGACATTGTCTTAACGTTTACTTATTTAAAGATTTTTTTTTACAAATTAGTTACGCATATTGCAATTTACAAATAAACGTTACGCTTGAGCGCTTTACAAATCAATGTTACGACAAAACTCAATTTATTTTTACAAACCATTTTCACCACATCAAAACGATATTAATGTTGAGCAAAAATAAATTATAACGTACTTCATCAAAATCAATTTTAAAAATGAATGTTTCTACAATTGAAGTTATAATTTGAAAAAAATATTGTCTTATATTTTATACTACTTAAAGAATTTAACTTCCTATTTATAACTAACACAAATCTTTCGGAATTGTTCGAATCGGAACAAACAAATGGGACAGGAGTACCTAGACAGCTTAGATCAGAATGAATCTTTTAATAAAAATGAACAGGGTGGGGACAAAATCACACATTTTTTTTTGTTCGCAAAATTTTTTTTTTTGCACACATTTTAACTCTGTTGGGTGTTAAGCTCGAGCATGCGTGTTCCCTATAGCTGTTAAGTGGTAATTTTATGTTAATGTAACTTCATACCAAATTTCATTTGAATTAGCTACCTAGTTCTGGAGTAATTAACAAATTATGAAAATTCTCTTAATTTTGATTACACAGTTTAAAGGCTAAATTTTTAATTATTTTATATTATGAAAAAGTAATGGAATTAGTCATATTTTTATTGATCAGCTTACTGCTATACTACTGAACTGCTATAGTACTGCTATACTTCTACTGAATGAATTTTTAAAAAAAGTTTAATTCGTTCAGTAGAAGTTTCCCAACACAAAGCATAATTTAATAACTATAAATAAATATCTAACGAAGATAACTTAACAACAACTCACCTGTTTCTGATGTTCTTTTTTTTCTATTTATAGTAAATAGGATTGGTGACGTAAACAATTTAAAAAATTTGGCAAATAAAAATGTATTTATGCTTTAAAAAAAACTTATCTGTTCAAACGACTTATTTCACTTTCAATTTATACACTGTAAAAAATTCTGGATCAAATTAAATAAAACAAATAAAAGTACCACACTTTGGGTTCATCATTCGTAAAATTCCTTTCGCCACAAAATTCAACTTTTACTGTCAAATATTATATTTACAATAATATTTATTTAATTTGAGTGATTCAGTGATTTTATGATAATTATTACTGTAAAAATAACGGTATATCAGATTTTTTTTCTTTGCTCCGTAACATGTTCCGGTAGAAATTGGATTTTACAGTAAAAAGTACCGGCGCTCTAACTTTTTACCGTAATTTGATTTGAAATTTTTTTTACAGTGTTTACAGTGTGTTACAATCGAAATTTCGATAAATGTAAAACAAAAAATAGCAAAATAATTCTAAGTGTTAAAACCATGTGTCGAAAATGTAAAAAATTAATAATCAAATGTTCAAATTAATAATAAAAAAGTGCTTAAACGATATCTATTTTTCCGTATGGTTCTAAACAACTATTTCAGTAGTTCTAAACAAAATTTTTTTGTTTCAAAGTCAGATAAACGTATTGTTTAAACGTGCGTCGTTTATGAGAGAAGAGGTAACAAAACCTTCCTAATTCGCTACCTTCCTATCGTAGATCCTAGAGAAAAAAAAACGAAAAGAAACGATGGTATATGAGTGGCTTTGAGAGCGATGGTTACTCTCTATCTCCATTTATCTGGTGTATTAATTTACAGAGGATGAAAGGATTTATTTATTTGTGGGACTTCACCGGAGCGGGAAAAGTGGCAGCAGTTAAGTAATGATTCTTAGTATATGCTTCTTTTTATGAATTACTTTGCTCAATGACAAAAGAATCCCCTCTTTTTTAAGTTTCCGATTTCATCTAGTCTGGAAAATTTTTAGTTTTCAACGCTTAAATGAGTTATTTCAGAAAACTGCATTGACTAAAGGCAAACTGTAAGATTTCATTTGTATTTGCACGTATTTAAAGTGGTTTGTTTTTGTAGAATTTGTTTGCTGTCAACTCTAATTACATCTAATTTAATGTTTAACGCGAAATAGTCAATCTACAAAATACGCTTTTTTTTATAAAACCCTTCATTCTGATTTTTTCATTAAAAGTCATTCAGCAATTTTTGGAGCATAATTTGTCTTGGCGACAGTTTGCATGGATACCAATTATCGAAGTCATAATTGAAAAGCTAAGATTAAGGGGGATTTTAGTGAACTTGTTTTACTTATTTCTCTGAACTGGAATCCGGCAAAAAAAAATCGCCNAAAAAAAAGGAATATATATATATATATATATAATTCATTACTGGATAGAATTAGCTTATAAACATTTTTGGTTCTTTAATAATAAAACAATAATAATATTTTAAGCAAATGTAGAGGAATTAGTAAATTTATGCTTGCATTAGATTAAAGCTTATCCAAAATTTATCCAGGTTTTGGACAACCTATTCCTTTCAGTCTTTTTTGAAGAATTTGGAACATTGGAAATTGTTGGAATAGCATCAGGTCTTAATTTATTGCTAGAATCTTTCCTATTTATTTCTAGATCAGATTCTTCAGAATAAGCCTTCAAAAAAATGTAGAATACTCTTTTTTAATTTTCATACTTAAATTAGATGACATTAAAAGATTTAGAGATCAAAATTTTTAAACATACTCCTATAAAATTTTCTAACACAGAAACTAATTATTTCAGCAATTTAACACAAGAATTTCAAAGAAAAAATGTAGTGATAAATACAAAAATATGTGAAAGATCGCATAATAAATTGATTTCTTATGATAAATATAAACAAACCGTTTGACTTCTAAGCGATATGATACCATAAGTATCTTTTAAAAAAAGCTTAAATAAACCAGGATTAGAAAGCTAACATCCTGACATCTTAGTGAAATAAAAAGGAATACAATTAAAAACAGGTAAATATTTATTTTTAACAAAAGGAAATACTTAATAGTGAATACAAAACTCCGCAATTCTGAAATAAGTTTTGCGAATGCTTTTCCAACCAATCTCTTGCCTTTATTTATTAGTTTTATTGCACATAAACAGTTAAAATTGTTCAATAAAATAATAAATCTTGTTTGAAAGTCATATTTTAAATAAATATATGCTTAATAAAGACAATTTTCAATGAAAATTCTATATTTGGTACTTAGTTAAAACTGTAAAATTCAAGTAACCCTAAAAAGTTATTCACCTATTTAAAAAAAAGAAAAAAAAAAAAAAATAGACGAAAAAAATCAAAACTAATTCTAACAACTTAATATTGTTTATACATTGCTTATGGAAGTAAATAAATCCAATAAGTTAAAATAAATGAGTATTTATCTCACGTAAGCGAGCTCCACTTACAGGCTGCCAGTTGTATTTTCCGCAATTTATTATTCATTTCTTCTTTCTTTTAAAATTTGTAGAAAATCTGAACATTCAAAAGCCTTTTTTTTAACCGTTTGTACAACTTACCGACTCATTACCACCCATATCAATAATTTTAGATATCTAAATAGCCTTCAAACTCTCACGTTAATACTAACATGACGTAACTTGGAAACTTCTTGCTCCACTATGGCGGACAGCTCAGCTCTCATAGTATAGAAGCCTTAGTGTGGGTAAGATCTGTAATCTTCTCAAAGTGCAAGTACCCAGTTGAAACATTAAGAAAAATTCATGGGAAAGTAGAAAGGCTATACTACATAAAAATCTTTTTCGTCAAATTAAAATAACTTTGTTCATAATTAAGATAATTATTTGATACGTAAAATTTTCATTTTATGTCTAAATATAATTTTGATGCTGTGCTAAATTGTGCACTTTATTTGAGCAAAATTATTCAAAATATGAATTGTTATTTCTTTACTCATTATTCATTTTATTTGATTGAAGACTATTCTACATTTCATGGAGTCATGTTTGTCTTGGCGACATTTCGTCGTGGCCATAATTGTTCCTTGAAGAAGATTTATAAAGGCACTATTGTTAAAGAACTTAATTGTCCATCAAAAATAACTTTGTTTATATAGCGTTTATTATTTAGATGATTATTTATTATGGAAAATGTTCACTTTTTGTGTAGTAGCATAAATTTCAGCTTGCTCTGATTGTGTATGTGATTTAACGATGTGAAAACGTGATGAATTGCACTTACTACAGTTCGTCGCTCGAACACAGAGGAATTATGCTCACATATTGTTAATTATACGCAGAATGAATCGGCCCGACACTCATTAAAGAAATTCTGGTGAATCATAAGATATACACTTTTCCTGAAACTTGACTTAATTTGAAAATTCGCGACGAAGCCTGCCAACTGCTAATTTATCTAATGCATCAATTTGAGAAGTTTACTGAAGTTCGTTGAAATGCATTGTTTTTAAATAACTGCACTCAGGTGTTTTTTCTTTTCTATTCGAGAAAATGTATTTGTTTTTAGTGAATTAGAATATAATAATAATGTAAAGAATATAATAGTTTAATAAGTTTAATGTTTTCAAATTTTAAATTCGGACTCTTAAATCGCCGTAAAAACTTTCAGCGCTTTTCTGTACATTGAAACTTTTTAACATCATTTTAAGAAATGTGGGTATAAAAAACGTGTGGATAAAATTACTTTTATTAAACAAATGCATTGTAAGAAATTCTGGATCATATTACGGTATTAAGTACCAGCACTTTGGGTGCGTCATCCGTAAAAACTATTTTACCATAAAATCCATTTCTTACCGTAAAATATTAAAACATAAATTTTACAGTAAAGTTTACTTAACTAG